TAGGTGACCACTAGAGGAACAGGGGGGTGGATGGATATACTGTGGGTAGATAGAAGGATGAATATGCCATGACCAATACACAGTGCACAGAGTTGTCCATGCAATGCCTCGAAGCAACCAGACCAGGACTGGGCCCTTGAAGGGTTCGTAACATCCTTCCAAACAAAGAAGCCCTAGGTGGGAGAAGGGTCCCACTTACCAGCCTTGAGTTTCTCCACCTTAGCCCGCAAGTCCTGGCCACGGACCTGAAGGTGCTCAGTCTCCAAGCACACTTTGTCCATGCGCTTCTGCAACTCATTGCGTTGCTGCTGCTGCAGTGAATGGCAGTTACTCTCATTGGTGCGTGCAGCCACCAGCGCCTTCTGCAACTGTGGGGACAGAGGCTGAATGCTGGGCCTGGCCCTCAGCATGGAGAGTGAGGGCAGAACTGTGAGGGAGTGGAGGGGGAAGGGAGGCACAGAGAAGAGGGGGAGATAGGGAAGTGGGAGAGTGTAGGAAGAGCGGACCTCACTCACCTCCTTGATCTCTTCTTGCAGGTGCTCCAGCTCCGAGTTCTGCTCATTGATGAAGTTGAACTCAGCAAAGTTGCGCTCCTCCACTGGGGGAGTCGAGAAAGGTGGGGTCCAGAGAGGAGAGACAGACATGCAAGGGAGAAAAATAGACAGACACACAGAAGGCCAGAGAAAATGAGATTGAGAAAAACCATACAGAAACCAAGGCACAGAGATGAACAGAGAGACAGAATCACAGAGACCAAGAGATACAGGCAGATAGACACCGGGGACACAGAGAAACACAAAGCAAGTCAAGAGTGAGAGAAATACAATGACAGAAAGCCACAAAGACACAGAGAACACAGAGAGAGATGGAGCAACAGAGACAGAGAGAAAATAGATGTGGGTAAAGAAACACAGAGAGGGATGGGGTTAAGGAAAAAATGTGGAGTGACCCGAGGCACAGGAGTGAAGGAGGGAAAAAGAGAGACAGACACACATAGCAAAATCGAAGGAAATGGGACACAGAGATGCAGGTCCAGAGGGACAGAAACACAGGAGACAGATTCCAGATGTAAGTGGGAAAGCGTTGGAGGGAGATACCAAGTACACAAAGATGGGGCAGGGCCAGAGACAGGGTCACAGTAAGGGGCATGTCCCAGCAGGCACATGTCCCAGGCCTGATTCTTCATTCCTCCAGGGCAGGTGGAGGAGGCCTGGGGTGGAGCCAAGGCACCGTAACAGTGACAGAAGATAGTCTATGTTTAACTGATGCTAGAACTGTACTTGGCCTCCTCCCTCTGCCCAGGGCCCCACTCACTCTCCAAGTACTTCTGCACCAACATGTCAGGGTCACTTTCCCCAGTCAGCTGGGACAGCTTGTTCAGGGCATCCTGGAGGCGCAGCACCAGTTTCTCCTGAGAGGTCTTCCGGAGGCCTTCAGCCATCTCCCGGGCTAGGGTAAAAGGGAGCAGTGAGATGCCTCCTGGGCTCAGTCCCTGAGCTCCACAGCCTCCACAGTAGCCCTGCTAGAGAGACCTGCAGCTCACAGCAAGGCCCCTGGGGCTTCCAGCTATGGGAGGCCAGAGCTGAGACCCAGATCTTACAATGTTTTTCTCGCTTCTCCAAGATAGCAGGATCTGGCTGCCGATCATCGTTCTTGAGCTTGAGGAAGCGATGTAGCTGCTCCAAGTGTGCGATCTGCCGCTGCAAGACCTGTATCTCCGTCTCATTCTGGGCTACCTCCTTCTCAGTGCGCTCCCGAAGCAGGCCCATCTTGGCCTTCGCCTCCTCCCTAGTTGGGGGGGGTTGGGGGGGTGGAGAATGGTCAGCCCAGGGTCAGGAAGAGTGCAGGAGGTTGGATCAGGATCAGCCTGGGGACCAGGGATGGTTGGGGTCAGGCTGGGGTCACAGGAATGGGGCAGAATCAGGTGGCAGTTGTCTTGTAGTCACAAAAACCAAAGAACTTTCTAGGTTCCCAGAGCTGGGCCAGAATGGGGTTTGGGAGTCGAGCCAGGGCTGAGGTGCTAGGCTTTGTCAGGAAGGACAGCCTTGTTGGGAAGGACAGCCTTGCCCACAGACAGGGCACTGCTGGCATGCAGGCACAGGGGCAACTATAAGGCCAGGCATGCTTATGTGACCTATGGAACAGGCAGCAAGATGGTGACAGTGGCACAGCAAGAGATCATACCTAGACTCAGAAAGGTAACAAGGTAAGTGTGCTGGAGTTTAGGTGTCATGTGGTTGGAAATGTGAGAGGCTTGGACCATCCAGGCCTCACAAGGAGAGATGGGTGATTTCACCACCACTGGAGCACATACCCTATTAGAATATTTGTGACACCACAGAAGTCTCACTCATTGAACATCCCCTTTCTCACTCAACTGAAAATGTAGCTTTTAAAATAGCACAGCCAACTGTAAATTCAGAGTACTCTAAGACTACTGTACTGATCACAGGGTCATTCGGTTACAGAGTCATTAGGTTGAGAGAAAGAGTGAGCCAGTCTTCTCAGGGTTCCCACCCATTGACCATTCTGGTTTCCACTCACCTTCACCAACATCAGTTGCCTCTATCCAGAGCACCAGCTTCTTGCTCTATCCAAATTCCTTTAGAGTTAATTTAGGCCAATCCTCCTTGGTCGGAAGGCTTCCCTGACAACCACTGGCCCCAGCACCCAACAACCTCTCCATCTTGCAGAGTAGCCCCTCAGGGATCAGAACACACAGTTCCCCATGCCTTGTGTTCCATGCCAACCGAAAGGCAAGGAAGAGAGAACACACTTTCCTGAGAACCAGCCCTTGCAGGGGGAGCCTTACAAAAGTGTTCCATGAATCCCCACTACAGCTCTGGGAGGTAGGTACCATCATGACCACCATGTCATACTCAAAAGGAAAGAGACTCAAAGAGGGGAAGCTCTGGTGGCAAGGATTAACAGGAAGTTCAGTCCTGATGCCTGCCCCTCCCTTCTAGCCAAAACTGCCTATCCTTGAGGGTGCACATTACAGCTAACTGGAAGAGTGCTGGGGAGGTAAGCTCCTACATACAAGCCAGCAGAACCTAGAGCCAGCAGGCTGCTGCTTGGGGCCTTGGCAGAAAAGATCGGCCAGGCCAATCAGATTCCTTTTCTTGGAATTTGGATTGGGAAATGCTAAGAATGAGACAGCAAGAATATATAAAAAGAAGCCAGGAAAAGTCATGACAAAGCCAACTTATAAAGAAACTGAAGCTATGTTTGAACAGGAGCCTAAAGGGGAACTGGCAGACCAAAGGTAAGAAATCACAGAACCAGCCATAAAGAAGAATGAAGTACTAACACATGCTACAATGTGGATGAACCTCAAAAGCATTTCACTAAGTGAAACAAGACAGACAGAAGGTTACGTATTGTTAATTCCATCTATACAAAATGTGCAGAATAGGCAAATCCATAGGGACAATAAGGAGACTTGTGGTTACCAGGGGATTAGGGAAGGATGGATGGAAAAGTGACTGCTAAGTGGGTACAGGGTTCCTTTTAGGGTGATGCAAACATTTTGGATCTAGATAGAAGTGATGGTCACACAACATAGTAAATATACTAAATGCGGCTGAATTGTATACTTTTTTTTTTTTGAGACAGAGTCTGAGTCTGTCAGCCTGGGTAGGGTGCTGCGGTGTCATCATGGCTCACAGCAACCTCAAACTTTTAGGCTCAAGAGATCCTCTTGCCTCAGCCTCCCAAGTAGCTGTAACCACAAGTGCCATGACACAACATGGAGCTAGTTTTTCTATTTTTAGAGATGGGGTCTTGCTCCTACTCAGGCTGGCCTCTAGCTCCTGAACTCAAGCGATCCACCTGCCTCGGCCTACCAAAGTGCTAGGATTACAGGCCTGAGGCACTGCATCCGGCCCTGAATTATATATACACTTTAAAATCATGGATTTTGTATCAGATTGAGGCTCAGAGATGACTGGCAACTTCTGAAATAATCTTACTGAAAAAGTTTTCTTGTTGTTGTTATTGTTGTTTTTAATAAAGTTCGTTGGTGAATAAAATAAAATAAAATGGTAGATTTTGTTATATGCATTTTAACAAGGAAAGAGATGAAAAGGGAAGGAGGGGAAAGAATCACAAAAACCAAAAGATAGACCTGGGCTTTACCTGACATCATGAGGAATCAGGAACCATGAGAAAGCAGAAGTCACTGAGTAGAAGGCAGGAAGGCATATGGAGCAAGAAGAGAACAAGGCTGAAGCTGAGAAAGCAGCAGAGATGGAGTCAGAGAGAGTGTGGAGCTCATGAGAAACTAATACCCAGAACACCTTCAATTCCTCAATTGCTTACTTGGATCGAAACCACCCTATCTGAAGGTGGCCTGAGAGAATCTCTGTCCTTTTCCACTGGTGCTGATAAGTAATAATTCTCCTTCTCTAGATGCTTCCTAGTTCCAGGACCCCTGCTTCATGTACTACACGTACATCATCTTACTTAATTCTCTCTATATCCTATGTGCTAGATACCACCAACAGATGGGGTCGATGGAGATGAACACACATGCCCAAGAAACAGGACCTTGCCCACAGAGCTGGGAAGTCAGCAGGGAAAGAAAGGGGCACACTAAGGGGGAAAAATAATTAGGTTCTGACATCCATTTTCTTGAGTCCAGAACCTTCCCACTGTCTTATAGAAAGGTATATCCTGAGTCATCTGGGCCCTGCCACCCCAGATGCCTGGTAGGCCCTACCTGACAGTGTAGGCAGAGGTGGAGGAAACAATGAGGTCACTGACCATCTGCTGCAGGTGGCGGATCTCCTACCAGAGAGAGGACAAAATCAATGGCACTTCTTATAATTTCATCACTTTTTCCATTAGGCCCCACACTTCCCCAATTAGGAGAGAAACTCTGAACCTTCCAAATGTGGGTTCCCCTCATTAGCAGCTGCTCATGAAAGAGATTTTATTTTTTGTTTATTTGTTTGAAACAGGGTCACCTAGTTAGAGTGCAGTGGCACAATCATAGCCCCCTGCAACCTCAAAGTACTGGGCTCAAGCAATCCTCCTGCTTCAGTCTATCACAGCTGAAACTACAGGCACTAACCAAATCTGAGACAGTTAAAACAACAAAATGAATAACAGTTATGGATTATAACCCATAGAGGAAAGTACGAATACATGAATATAGAGGAGAAGGAGCTTTTCCTTAAGGAAAATGCCATCTTATAAATGTAGAAGAAATGATAGAGTTGTTTTTAATCACTGTCTGCAGCCATTGCAGTAATAATCATTCAGGTAAGAATCATTCGTGGATATTAAAAGAATTGAGCGTGTTAAGGGACAGAATATTTACATAGTCTCAAAGAGTCTCCCAGGCCTGGCATGGTAGCTCACACCTGTAATCCCAGCATTCTGGGAGGCTGAGGCTAAGCCTGAGCTCACAAGTTTGAGACCAACCTGAACCAGAGCGAGACCTTGTCTCTGAAAAAAGCTGGATGTTGTGGGGTACTCCTGTAGTCCCAGCTACTTGGGAGGCTGAAGCAAGAGAATCACTTTAAGCCCAAGAGTATGAGGTTGCTGTGAACTGTGATGCCATGGCACTCTACCAAGAGTGACAAAGTGAAACTCTGTCTCAAAAAAAAAAAAAGTCTCCCCATAGACTACTTATTCATTACAAAGAGGAAAAATCTACATTGGAGAAACCTAGCTAACCAGAAGATCAAAGTTAACATCACTAGTTATGGGACAAAGTGACATCAGGTGCCTCCTAATATAATGCACACAAGGACACTGTGTCATTCTACTAGAAATTCAGATGCTGAATCAAATCATGAAGAAAAATCAGACAAATTCATATTGAGGGACATTGTACAACACAATTGGCCTGGATGCTTCCAAAATGTCGGCATCATGCGGAGACAAAAAAGGGCCAAGGGACTGTTCCAGGTGAACAGAGCCAGAACAACCAAAGGCATCATGGGAGTCTGGACTGGAGCCTGGAGC